GTGTGTGTGTGTGTGTGTGCGCGTGCGCGCGTGTGTGCGTGTGCATGTATGTGAATACATAAATTGAAAAGTATTGTAAAACAAACAAACAAACATGAGAACAGATGTGACGAGGCAAAAAAAAATGAATAAAACAATAAAAACAAAAATAAAAGAATTAAATAAAGAAAAACAAAAGTGAGAGTAAGCTAGAAAATTATGCCTGCCTCGTGAGCGAATTCCCGCAGCAACAATAGATGGCGTTGCTTGTCATCGTTCTTACACCACAACAATGGCCGACCCGATGCTGTGGCCTTGGGGGGAGGGGGAGGGGGAGGGGGGGAGAGAGGGAGTGGAGGGAGGAGGGTGGGAAAGGGGGAGGAGGAGAGGGAGGGGGGTGGGAAAGGGGAAAAGGGAGAGGGAGAGGGGAGAGGGGGAGAGGAGGGAGGAGAGGGGGAAGATAAAGAAAGGGAAGGAGGAGATACATGGAAGAAGGAGAGAGAATAAGTGAAGAGAAAGAAAGGACGGAAAGGAAGTAAGAGGAAGGGGTATGAGATAGAGATGAGAGAAGAAGAAGGTAAGGGAAAGAAGAGAAAAAAATAGCAAAGAGGAAGAGGAAAGTAGAAGAAGGAAAATGGAAAGACAAATTAAAGGACAGAAAGCAGAAAAAAAGAAACAAGACAAGACGAAAAGACATCAACAAGAAAAAAAAACAGAAGAGAAAACGTAATAAATAAATAAAACAATAAAGAAAATAATGACACGCGAACCGAACGAAAAATGAAAAACGAAAGGAAAATATTCCCAGAAGGTACCGGAAGTAGTTTTTTGTTTGTCTGCACGTAGGCCTACCTGCCCACCAACCGCCTCCGGGCCTATGACGTCATCACCTCACGCTGGGTCAAAGGTCAAACTGGAAGACCAAGAGAGATGGGGGTGGGGGGAGGGGGTGGGGGGGAGGGTAGGGGATGGGGAGAGGGGAGAGAGGGAAGGAAGGGAAGGAGAAGGAAGAGAGAGACAAAAGGACGTAAGGGAAGGAAGGGGGAGAGAGGAGGAGAGAAATGAGGAGAAAAGAGAATAAGAAAAAAGAGAGAAAGAAAATGGGAGAAGGAAAGAGACGGAATAAATAAAATAATTGAGGGAGGAAAACAAGAACAAGAAAAGAAAATAACGATAATAGACATCGATGATAACGATGATGATAACAGACCAAAGAAAGGAAGAGGGATAAAGAGAAAGACGAAGACGAAAAGGAGGAGGAGGAGGAGGAGGAAGAGAGTTAAAAGAGAAAAGAACAGTTAAAAGAACAAGAAGAAGATTAGGATGACAGGGAACAGCTGAAGACGTCGCCCGAAAGGTCAAGCCCAAAACCCGAAAATGACACGTGACAAACATGCCAGCCAGTGTTAACAATGGCTCCGACCGCCTAGCCTTGAGCCCGGCGTCGGCCCCGAACCAGCCTGGGAAAGGAAATCTGTCTCCATTTTCCTTGAATTTTCGGTGTTTTTTTGGTCTTTCTTGTTATTATCTCCTGTCTCCTTCTTTTCTTTAATTTACGTTTTTTTTTTTTTTTTGTCTTTCTTATTATTATTTTCATTATTTTGGGCTTGGGGTATGTCTTCCGTTTCCATTTTTCTTTAATTTTCGTAGTTTTTTTGGTCTTTCTTTTTACTTTTATTATTATTTTGGGCTTGGGCTAAGTCTCCCGTTTCCATTTTTCTTTTATTATCGTTGATTTTTTGTCTTTCTTTTTATTGTTTTATTATTTTATTATTATTATTATTACTATTGTTATAATATTATTATTGTTATTATCATTATTATTTATTTTCCTTTTTTGCCTGTCGTCTGGTCCCCATTTTCCTTTATTAGTTAATTAATTTTTGGCTGTCTCGTGCTACCCATTTTCCTACATTTTTTATTCATCTGTTTTATTATTATTTATTTTTTTTATTATTATTAATGTTATCATTATTATTATCATTTTTACTATTATTATTATAATTAATATTATCATTATTATTATCATCATTATCATTATTATTTTTTTATTATTATTATTATTATCATTATTACTATTATTATTATTATCATCATCATCATCATTACTATTATTATTATTATTATTATTAATTAATTAATTAATTATCATTTTATAAAGTCTCCTCTCCCCCATTTTCTATTACACTCCCTTAATTTTCGTTTTCTTTGTCTTAGTAGGAGGATTAGAAGGGGGAACTCAAACAAATTGATTAACGACTAAATAAGCACAACGCCCGTGGCACTTAATGTCATGGGTGGTCTGTAGGCTTATTTTACTATGCGTGTAAAGACAGGAGAGAAAAGCAGAAGAAATAATCATGATAATCTTACGGTATGAGAATGGAAGAGGAAAGGGAGGAGACAGACAGAGAAATGATGATAATGATGCTAACAAATTTAAAAGATTATAGAATTGATATTAAAATTAAAACAACTAATACTACGAATGCTAATATAAAGAACACTTTTAATTAGATTAAGTCGAAAGTTAATGGAACGAGATAAAAATACAAACAGCATGAGCATATTCTTTTTTTTTTTTTTTATGAAGAATAAATGAATAAATAAATGGGCAAAAGGAAATATTGTTGGACTGTGATTTGAAATCTGCAATTTTGACAACTTTATGTAAGCCCAAGTAGTAGGAAATAAATTATATTTGTTTATGCAACTTGGTTTGGTTACGAAGCACTTTATTCTCTCTCTCTCTCTCTCTATCTATCTATCTATCTATCTATCTATCTATCTATCTATCTATCTCTCTCTCTCTCTCTCTCTCTCTCTCAATCTTTCTCTCTCCCTGCCCCCCCCCCCCTCTCTCTCTCTCTCTCTCAAGGTCGCCCCACGATAAATACAGTTCATCCTTCACGCTTCAGCAGGAAGTGTTCAGATACTGTACATTCTCGAAACATTTTGCGGGCGACTGTGATGTCAAGAGGCGTGGGGGATTTTGGAAGAGCAATGTGTCTTTCTTTTCTAGTTAATGATGATTTTTATTGTAGTAGTAATAGTGAAAATGATACTTATAAAGATGATGATGATGATGATGATGATGATGAGGAGGAGGAGGAGGGTAATGATGATAATAGTAATTAATAATAATGATGTAACAATAGTAATCAGGATAATAATAATAATAATGATGATAGTAAGAATAATAACAATAGCAATAATGACAGTAATAATAATATTACTGTTACTTATACTACTAGTGTTACTGCTGCTACTACTTACACTACTACGCAAAATAAACTATAAGAGAACTTATACTTATCACTTATAAGTATCTGAAGTTATTTATGAGTATCTGAAAATAACTCATAAGTATCTAAAATCACTTAGAAGTATCTAAAATCACTTAAAATAACCTATAATCACAAATGAATGTCTAAACTCACTTATGAGAACCTAAAAACACTTATAAATGACTAAACCCACTTACCAGTATGCAAAATCACTAACAGATCTTGGAAATCAATTGCAAATAGCCTAAAATCGTTTACAAATATCTAGAATCATAAAGAAAAGAAAAAAAACGTGCATTGTTCAAACAGGAATGACATTGCTCAATTATTGCAAAAAAAAAAACTTTGCCAAAATTGCATGAATTTCTCGTCTGACCTGTGATTTTATTTTTTTTTCTTCTTCTTCTTCTCCTTTACGGTCTATAAAGCTCGGTAAATTATTTAAATCCTGATCTATTTTTATTTTTATATTCCGGACGTTTTCCATGTGAATATTATAATGCGCATTGAATATGTATTGTATATATTTACGGGATTCAATCTGTGTTGCACTGTGGGAATCAATATTGTTCAATGGCGATCACACAGGTTAGGTGGTTGTTTAAAATCATGTTTGTGATTTTTTTTTTTTATTGTCAACGTGTGTCAATTTCCGCAACTGAAGGTCGATCGTTTTGTGCGATTGTTTGTTTGTTTCTGTTTGTTTGCGTGTGTGTGTGTTTGTGTGTGTTTGTGTGTGTGTTTGTGTTTGTGTGTGTGTGTGTGTGTGTGTGTGTGTGTGTGTGTGTGTGTGTGTGTGTGTGTGTGTGTGTGTGTGTGTGTGTGTGTGTGTGTATTTGCGTTCGTGTGTGTTTGCATTTGTGTGTATGTGTGTATGTTTGTGTGTGTGTGTGTATGTGTATGTATGTATGTATGTGTGTGTGTATGTGTGTGTGTGCGTGTGCGTGTGCATGTGTGCGTGTGCGTGTGAGTGTGTGTGTGTGTGTGTGTGTGTGTGTGTGTGTGTGCGTGTGCGTGTGCGTGTGCATGTGTGTGCGTGTGCGTGTGCGTGTGCGTGTGTGTGTGTGTGTGTGTGCTTAAGTGTGTGCGCATACGAAGACAGGAAGGACCAAGATTGGCAAATAAAAAAGAATATTTTATCTTGTCAGTTCCCTCTTACAAAATATCTTTTCTGTCGACTACGAGGAAATGAACTTTATAAACCAATTAATCTATAAACACGATTTTAAACGTAAATTTCTATCGACATTACTTTTCCATTATTAGAATATAGTTACATGGGTGAATGAATTATGGAATTCACTAATGCATATTAAATGGACGAAGAGAATTGCTTATGGAGCGAATTAATGAATAAGTTTATAGTTTAGTATGTGAGTAAATGAATTTTTACGTAATATATTGTCAATAGAGAAAAATAATGGATGTGAATAAAGTTATAAATGAGAATTATGGATTTAACGAGGTGTGGAATATATCTTTTTACCAATATATTTTTCCTACGTTTGTTACAATGAACAATTCAATTAAAGACAATATATAAATAGATGTCTTGGTAATACTTAATTATACAAGTAAATATAAACAAATGAACAATGCGGCTAGAGACAATAATATAAATAGATGTGTAAATAGGACGTAAATACAGTGTAACAAGAAAAGAGAATAAACATGGGTTAAGGATAAACACGAAAATAGAGAGACTACGTAACTAATTTCCTATCCTCTCTGCAG